CTTTTTACCGGAAAGTATAAGAACACACACGATAACATAAGGAAAACAATATCCAAAGGATAGAAGGCTTCATGCACGTAGAAGAAATAAGCTCGCTTCTTGCTTACATAAATAGTCTCGCTTCTTGCTTACATAAATAGTCTCAGCGTTATCTATTTTTATTCCTACAGCCTACCCATTTTAAAGGTCATTGACCCTTATCGTCGGGAACATTCTTGTACAACGTGACGCAACATACTACTGGTTGTCGTAACAATGTCATTGATGCCGGCGGGGATAGAACAAGGCTTGCTCGCAATATACTACTGGTTGTCGTAACAAATAGAACAAGGCTTGCTCGCGTCTCGTGAAATTCACGGCGAGCCCATGAGCTACCATCCATCAATCCATCCGTTACAGCATATAAAAGTTCACTGTTGAACATAGGAGGCCTCCCCCATAGATTTGCTCATAGGAGGGATTTTACCATACTTTGCCATGGCAGGCAGTTGGCAGTCGCAGTTTTTTATAACTTTGAGTGGTTATCAGAAAGATGCTGCTATGCCCATAACCTGTTTCAGATTCCTTTTGTCGCCGCTTACGACACCCACGGGATATGGGGTAGTGAATATTCTTACACCGCCTCTCTCGTATTAAATTACAATAAATATAATATAAGTTAGTCATTATATCTAATGAATAAATGACACTTTTATATCATAGATAAAATTGTATTTTATAGCACAATAACAATTATTTCCGAATCTTTTATATACACTTATATATATATTTTTTTTAACGGCTTATGTTTGTTTACAAAACGAATTAAAATTACGTTTATCGATGGAAGTGTCGAATGCAGTGTTAGAGTCGCAGTGGACAATAAATCGATGCTTTGTCTGTCGTACAAATAATGTTCACTACACTGCGGTTGGAATCCAGCCCACAACTCAACAGACCCTAGTTTTTTTAAAGAGTGACAAAGAGCACACAGTCTACCTGATTAGTCTACATTTATCCTCAAATTAGAATGCAAATTCGTTGTCACTCCTGGGAATATGATGGAATGTCTCGTTTCCAGCAAAAAGTTTTCCTGTTCCTTACACTCACCATACGAAACACTGGTATTCTGTGAGAGCTTGGTCCTGCTCCGGTCGAGCCGACCCGTTCGTGCTACAGCCATAATATAGCTGCAGCGTGGCTCTACGACTTATCAAAGTCCGTAGTGTTTTGATCGTTAAGTCACGTGTACACATGCGTAAGTTAGAGATCGATAATTCATTTTAATGGCGACAGGGCGTCTAGTAAATAGCTAACCTTTCGTTTATATATTTACAAGCGCGCTTTTATTACCTTGAACTGTACGTATGTATATGTTTTAGCCTTCTTTGGATGTATTCATGAAATATTGCAGACGTCTTCAGGACTGACTAGGATGACAATACAATAATTTCGTGACTGTGACCTATAAAAAATAGAATATTTTAATTCAATATAGATTTAATTTACTACTAGTGTGGAAAATACCTCTGTCCTGAAAAGAACCAGCAAGAAACCCAGCGGGTTTTGAAAAAAAAAAAAGAACAGTTTACAATACAATCATTTATTTTTACACAATAATTAAAAATACCTCTGTCCTGAAAAGAACCAACAAGAAACGCAGCGGGTTTTGAAAAAAAAAAGAACAGTTTACAATACAATCATTTATTTTTACACAATAATTAAATTTTATCGCTGTATAACAAATGTCGTTAACGTTTTTTTAACCTCAAATATTATTGTTTATTCATTATTCACATATATTGTTCTAGCAACAAAATTGCAAGCATTGAATTATATAATATGTGGTTTAACTGTTCTGTAATGTAATTCTCTAACAGTCGCATCCTCGGCATGCAGTAAAGAATATAATCGTACAAAACATTTTTAATTGAAGTAAGGGGGACAATAATTTATATTATGGTTGTATCACGAATAGGTCGGCTCAACCGGGGAAGGAACACGCTCTTCCAGAATACCAGCGTATAATAGCGGCTGAATGCTGCTTTCACAGGAAAAGAGTCTTATCCATCTTAGTTTTTAGGGGTAAAAACGCATTTGCATTTTATTCTGAACCGAGGATAAATGTAAATGTCTATGAGTCGCAGCATCCACTTACCATCAGGTGGACTCTGTGCTAGCTTTTCACCTTTGTTTTATAAAAAAGACAAACGCACACACATTTCCCCTGATGGTAAGTGGATGCTCTAGCTTATAAACATCTACATATATCCTCGATTAAAAATTTAAACATAAATGTGTTGTCATCTTTCGATATGGTGATGAGGTGTTCCTTCTTGATCTTCACGAAAATGGAACGCTTCGTCACCTGTAAAAAAGTGTCTAAAATAATCTCACATATACCGTATTAATGCTCCTGTGTTTCGTATAGTTAGTGTAGAGAACCGGATATTCTTTTTTCTGGTAACGAGGCATTCTATCTTTGTCCTCTTTTGGTGACAACATTTATTTTCGATTGAAAATCAAAATGCATCTGCATTATGTTCTGCATCTGCATAGATGTTTGTGGACCACAGCAATCATTTACTGTTGGCTTATTGTCGCTCATAACTAATATAATCTATGAAAAAATACAGAATTCTGATATAGGTTCTGTTTGCGAGTTCCGTAAACAACCTACTGAGCCTGCGTAAAACCAACAAGCCTATTTTCCACCGGCAACGTGAACGTGAAACGTTTCGTTTCTAGATACTGTTTGTAGAATAGTCTGGAAGCCTCGGGAATAATCGAAACTTTCAGGAATTTTATAAGCCGTTTGTTATTTCACATAGATTTTTAATTAAGTTTTATGGCGAATTTATTTTTCGAATTTATCACAATAAATATGCAATCTTTATCGAACTTAAATGTAGGAAAGCATTGCAAATTTCATTTTTATGTTTTAAACCTTAGTGTAAACTTTTAACCTTTGCAAACAATTTACTTTCCTATTGACGACGAGATAGAGCTCATTTTACGGAGAAATCGTAAACGAAAACTGTATACGCATGTGTAGCAGTCAGTTAGTAATCGTTATAGGGGACTATCGTCTTTAAAGCTTTGGTAGTACAGTGTAGAATGCCATGCGTAGTAACCATGCAAAATTGCACCTTCTTGACGCATGCTATTTCGCTCCGGGTAGCATCAAACTACAACACAACAACCTTCATTGTATTTCGGACTGACAAGCGTTAAAGACCTGAGATAACGACTGTTGATTTTTCCAATCTTAATAAGTGATTTTTAATCTGTGTACTGTGGGTGTAATTTCTATTTAAGTGCTCTCTTTAATAATTTTTGGCCTTTAATCGATAGACCTCTTTTTTGTCATTTTAATATTCTGTCTGTGATACTTGATTTCCTTGTTTATTAAATAGTGGCCAGTATTGTTCATCTCCACTTTGTTCTCATTTTACGTCTTGTGTTGTTACGAACACAGTAATTAAACGTTGTTTTATTGTGAATACTACTTTCACGCGAATTACATAAATCAGTGTTTGAATATTTCGAGAATATTCTCAAATCGTATCGAAGTATTATACAATATTGTATGGTCCAATCCAGCATTGCCTCAAAATGGCCGATACAAAAGGTGTTTTTTTTAATGAATATTTGTATATGTAGGAAAGCATTGCACCAAAAACACTCGACGCGCATTTTTAAGAGACAACACGTATTTATGAATGGGTGCGGATGTGTGCAATACTGCGTGTCTGTACTTGGTACTTGCTAGTGCGTGTGTTAGTGAGAGATTATTTAAGTATGTACTTGTGTGTGGAAGTTTGAAGTAGCGTGTACTTAAATACACAAGTTGCATTGCTCATGCAATTACACAGTTGCTTTTGTAATGGATTGTTTACTAGGGAGTATCAAACTGAAATTAATGTAAAAAGGGTCATTGGACATGGCATATGGCCCACAGTCTAGTGACGGCTTTCTAAAATGATATCCCGAACCTCCATGTATCTTTGCGATAGTCGATTTATTAAAAACAAAGTTTGAATTTAAAATACCATAAATAAAATAACTTACAACCATTTGTTTAATTATGTATTCTGTTTGATAAATGGTTGCATTTTTGCAATGTTAAATGGGTCGTGAGGGAAAACTATTTTTTTTAAATATTGAAATAGAAAAATATAAAAACCAGTTGTCACCATACTGCCGGTTGAATTGTGACTCCTTTGTGCAAATTATAGCTCCAATAAAACATATAGCATATTATATTTATCAAACGCGCTAATTTTTTTGTTGCAATTGGAACTGAAATTAAAAACTATCATATTCATAGCCCGAAATAATTTGATAGTTAAAAATAGCTAGTTTTCTGTTAGCGTTAACGAATGTAGTCTGCAGTAGAAGTTTACTACTGCAGACTACATTCGTTAACGCTAACAGAAAACTATAACAAGCTCAATGGTTAAAGCAGTAATTAAAAAACTTGACTGTCTATAGCACTTTACTTACTGAAAAGAGAAAAATTCAAGTATGTCACTTTCATAACTAAGATGAGCCTAATGAAACCCCCTATGTTAAAATTCATCAAGCTGTTTAGGTTACGGACTGTGCCAAAGAAATAGACATACATAAATACATACGCTTTAATGAATCCCTCCTTCTAAAGCAGTCTAGTTAAAATTAATGTTAATGACATATCTAAACTAAGTTACCTAACATAGATTTCGTTTATTTTCATAGTTTTCTATTAGGGCCAACAAATATATAATGCCAACTGGGCCGTACTGCAGAAAACCTATGTTAACAAGTAGACTTTTGATAGGCTGTAATAAAGGAAAGAAAAAACTAATTGAAACACTGCTAAACAGAGATAGAAGAGATAACTTGTTAATATTGATAATATTCTTGAAGTAGATAACAGTTTGAGACTTCTTTGTAAACCATAACGCATGTTATATGTTGTAAGCTAAGCTATATAGTATAGCCTTTCTTAGACTAAGTAACTAATGTAAATTTGTAAACAGATCAATCAGCACAAGGCGGGTATCCTCAAGAGGGCTACCCACAAGGCGGCTACCCACAAGCTGGCTACCCACAAGGAGGCTACCCACCGGGAGCATACCCACCGGGAGCATACCCACCGGGAGCATACCCACAGGCTGGCTACCCTCAAGCAGGATATCCGGCACCGAAGCCTGGCGTCCAACCTGGTTATGGAGCAGGATTTGGCGAAGTATCTATATATATCAATATTTTTTAATTTATATAAACATATTATTATCATAAATTCATCCATCCATTACTGCCTAAAAAGTCCACTGCTGAAAATAGGCCTCACTCATACATTGGTTTCTAGGAAAGATCATGCCATAAGATTGTGCCGAGATGTTTAGCCCTGTATGAAGTGACCTCTGCATATCCTGCACGGAGGGAAGGCTATCTGTAACACCTATGGTAAACAAATGTTTGTTAAACTAGCCATTTCCTGTGATAGCACTTGTTACTATCATGATCTGTGGCTTGTTCAGTCTCATTAAACCTTGGTTAGGCGACTGTTTATTTCAGGTAGGGCCTCCCTAGCTTGTCTACAGTCTACTAAATTTTTCCAAAGTTGAGCTTGTAAATTATTGAAGTTGTATATATTCTATAGGTGGCTTGCGGATTGGCAACTGCAGTTTTTATAAATTAGATTTGTTATCACGATGATACGGAGTAGTTCTTACACCAATATATCACCACCAGTCAATATTATCATTATTAACTTGTTATATTAAGTAAGATCTTCCATCATTTAGTTTTACTAAGCTAAGTGACCTAATGAAAGCCCATTCATTATTGCCTCAAAGACATGTACTTTATTATCGGACAGATAGACTGACTTACCATATCAAAAAATATGGACTAAGTTTTCAAGAAGCACATGCCAACTGGCTTTGTTGAGCAGAGGACTTAAAAATCCTATTGTCATGTGTGAAGCTTATATAAAAAGATTGGTTTGCATGTTGAATTTCAAATGAAATTTGAATGCAATCAATAAACTACTATTTCCTCTTTTTTTGCAATAAGAGAGAGAGAGAGAGAAATAATGAATATTTTAATAACCAATTATCAGACCTAAATTATAAACATAAATTTTACGTAGCATGGATGGTTAGCTCAGCTGCAGACCACTCTCTGAATATGCTACTGAGTATTATATGGTAGGGGATGAGAAATATGGTCATGGAAACATTATCAAGGTGTCTCATTGTTGGTGACAATGTTTCTGTTTATTTGATTTCTAATTAATGTTAGAAGAAGGCATTTATGGACCACAGCATCTGCGTAACATCTGATGTATTGTCTAATTATTTGTCCTTTTTTTTCCTATTCTACAAACAATTTTCTTTGTAGAATATCAGTCTAGTTTTGAACTGCATTTAAAGTGTTAAATAATATGTTTATACATTTTTGACAGTTCAAATAATCTATAGAGTCTAGATTTTATGTCATTTTGATGGGTTTTAACTAAAAAATTGTTGTTATAAATTAATTATTTGTTACCATTATAGATTTGAGCTAAAGAAATGACAATAATGTGTATCATGATATCAAATTTACTTGTGGTATTTAATTGTAAATCAATAATTAAATTACATTTTTATGACAAATACGTTCACTTCAAACAAGGAAGGCAGGTCACATGTAAAGACTAAGATGGCATACTTCTGCCTATAATTAAACCCTATCTTGCAAACTAAATGATACCACACACACTAAATGACACAGTGCAGAAGGGCTATGCTCATAGTTTCCCTGCATGATAGACTTTGTAATGAGGATATCGTCAATAAAAGTAGAGTAACTTGCTACAATGGCCTGGCCATATAGCTTGAAGAACCTATAACTGATGGAGTAAGGTTCTCGAGTGGCGACCTTGTGCCATTAAGCTAAGTGTGGGCCACCCCCTCCCACTAAATGAAGTAACAACCTGATAACACATGTGCATCAACGGTTGCAAGTTGATCAGGAATTAGTTTTGTGGCGTTCCTTGGGGGAGGCCAAAATTCAGCTGTGAACAATGGTGATACTGTATCAGAGTATGTATAAGATGGTGTACATTATAAAAGTCCTACTCGTAAACTATTCACTTCCTAAATAAGTTAATACTAATCTGACTATAGCTGTAAATAATTTCTTACACAGGGTTAATTTGTCCCATTAGCCACGCTTGACATAAGAAAGATGTTTAACAGTTACAGGAATGTTTTATTTTAATGATTTTTGAGATGCCAAAGTTTTATTAATCAAATGTTTATTTCCAGCCGGCTGGTTATCCGGCTCCAGGAGCGGGCTCCCTGGGTGAGGATGCGGACGTCAAGGGATTTGACTTCACAGAGCAGAGCATACGGAAGGCATTTGTACGAAAGGTGAGGTTGGAGACATCACTCAAACTGTTGATGTTTGGTTGTTGTATTTGCCTGCTAAAGTAACAGATTCGAACCCTACCTAGATCAGAGCCAACATTTGAGCAAATTAACAAATTTTTAGGTATAGATGTACTGTGCGAAAGGGTGTATAGTTGCCGACACGTCGTGAGCACACCTAAACTGTGGTGGGAGGTAGGTGCACTGTCGGGCAAAATTATTGAGTACCTTTATTATTTCAATTCGTAATTGAATATTTTCGCCGACTTTTATGAAAATGCTTACTCGAACACATCAACTTTTACTTTGATACAGCAATGTTGCAGATATTCGTGTCCGTTATTTTGTAATCTACTATAAAGTATTTAATGTATACCTGGTGGTTAGAATTAATTATTTTATTAAGAAGAAGGAAGAGGTGATATGCCTTCCATAAAATCTGGTGTTGCGGTGCGCCGTACAGTAGTTAGTAGCTACTGAGACATTAGTCGCCTCAGCAGTCTGTTTATATACGTCTATGATGTTTTTCGCAGTATCTAATTTTTTCATGTAACTAAACACTGAATAGACCATTTGTCGGGACTGTCTATTTAACACCGCAATTTCCTCCTCTGCATATTTAACACAATGCATATTTAACACTCTGCATATTTAACAAAAATAATTAAAAGCAAGAAATAACAAAAAAAAAATAATGACAAGGAATACACAAACAACAATTAACAACGAGGTAACAAAAAAATTAACAAAAATAAACTTATTAAAAAATTTATCATTAAAATTATTGCTCTGAAGTGTACGGAAGCCGAATGATACGTTCGAAACCAATAGAAGACGAGAATCGACTAATGAAATCTCGTTGAACGTCAGCGTGGTCAACGTCGTGTCGACCAATAAAAAGTGTGCTCACGACTTATGTCGGCAGTTATAGCTGGATAGATATATTCTGTCTTGGCTATAGTCTGTGCAAAGGGTGTAGCCGGATAGGTATAGTGGGTAAGATGACTGACCATTGAAGTCATCTTTTAGAGAGACCTGTAAGGAGGTTATATAAGTTTTAAAAAATTACGTCTTAATGGAAAATATTATTCATATTTTTAGTCGTTTCTTGGTATATGGTCATTTAATACTATCTTCAAAAATTAAATATTAAAAAAAATTTCAGTCACCAATTGCCTGTTTGGTTCTAAGTTTCATGTTTTTCAGATATAATAAAAATTTGTATTCTAATTTACAAAAAGGAATGCTGATTTTAAGTTGATGTGAGATGTTGATTCATTGAAAGAAATATTGATTTGATTGTTTCTTGACGCAGTGGCTTAGCAAATGAGTTGCACCACTAATAGCCTCGGGCTTGAATCTCGCACGGAACAAGTATTTGTATGGCCAACAAATAATTGTCCTTGTGTAATTTATATATGTAAACTGTCTCCACTATACAGGAGAAAATCCTAGTGTGGAGGTAACCTTATTATAAATATTGTTGGTCTTTTTTTCTTACGTAAATAATGTTTAATTTTACCTTAATTTCAGGTCTACGCTATCCTAATGGCTCAACTAGTGGTGACACTGTCTTTCATTACTCTTCTCACATACCATCAGCCCACGCAGCTATGGGTGCGTAGGAACCCTTATTTGTTGTAAGTATTATTTTATTTGTTTTTATTATTCTTCTTCAGCGCTAAAGTCCACTTCTAGACATTGGTCTCTCTCATCGTAGGATAGGTCTTGGCTTAATCATCACTGTTTGGCAGGCACTATGAAGATAGAAGTAATAGATGTCTAATCGACTGTTTGTTGATGGTCAGTGTAAAATGCTCAATAACACTAGGTACGTTTTGTAGGTACGTAGGTAAGTTAGGTTTTGTATGTTGAAGAACTACGCTGCAGCTATATTATGGTTGTACTGTGAATGGGTTGGCTAGACCGAGGAACTACGCCCTCACAGAGTACCAGCGTAAAATAGCGGCTTAATACTACTGTATTTCGTTTGGTGAGTATAGGGAAACTGCTACTCTTTTTACTGGAAACGAGGTATTCCTACTTATTCCTCAGGTGTGACGACGCATCTGCAATGTGATTTTCAATCGAGGATAAATGTTGATGTCTATGGCCACAGCATCCACTTACTATCAGGTGGACTGTGTGCTTGTTTGTGACCCTTATGCTATAAAAAAAGGTATAGGTACAATTCATACTCACAGTGTTGATGGTCATATGTCCTCACTGATTTGCTGTATACTAGACAATCGAATATTCCCACCACTGATATGCCATATACTACAGGCAGGAGCGTTAAATGCTGTACGTCACCGGTATGGGTATTTGTTACTGATTCAATCAATAAAAGAAACGACACCCAGGTACCGAAATGGTACACCGGCTGAATAGCTAGTTTTGGTAAAATATGTATATAAAATATGTAGTAAGGTTAGGTGGGTAATAAAAAAAAAAACGACTACCGTACTAAAATCTGTTTCCTAGATGGTAGATCCGCGCTCTAGAAATTTTATAGTTGTATCGGAATGGGTCAGCTCGACTGGGGTAGGACCACATACATACTCTCAGAACAACAGCATGAAATAACAAAATAATGTTCTATTTTGTATGGTTATTGTATAGAGATCTATAGTCAACTAAATCTAAGAAATACATTTTGACAGCTGTCATTGCACCAAGCATGACAACCAAGAAAGTATAATATTCGATTCATAAAAATATCGATATCGATTATTTAGAGTTGGTAATCATTTACAGTTTTGCTTGAATAATACTAGAATAAATTAGAATCGGATATTAATATAAAACACTATATATATAATTTAAAACACATCAGTTTCTTCGTATTTGTTGTTACTGTTTATTTCTAGAGGAATAGTTATAAAAATTAAATATTGAAATACATACATACATAAACACTCACGCCTGTCACCCAGAGGGGTAGGCAGAGACTACGGACTTCCATTTGACACGATCCTGACATACCTCTTTCGCCTCCTTTACATCCATATATCTACGCATACATGCTCGTCGGTTAAGGGTACTTTTAACGTGGCCCATTTTCAAAATATCGCCAATTTGGTCGATAAACTTTTTTCTAGGGCGTCCCTTCCCAACTCTGCCGTTCAATTCTGCCATATAAATTTGCTTTGTCACTCTTTCCTCATTCATTCTTTCTACATGACCAAACCACCGAAGCATTCCTTTCTTAATCCTGGTCACAACATCATCTTGCATACCATATTTATCTCTTATCATGCAATTTCTCACCCTGTCATTCAGATTCAACCCTAGCATACTCCGTAAAGACCGCATTTCTACAGCATTTATTCTACTTTCGTGCTTCTTCTGCCACACCCAGCTTTCACTACCATACATTAAAGTAGGGGCTAACACAGCATTATGAATTACCATACGTGCCTTTTTTGATAGATTCTGGTTCTTCACAATCGAGTGTAGTGCCCCATTCACTCTATTCCCTGCATTTACTCGTCGTTCTATATCCTTATTATATCTACCATCCCTGCTAAATACACATCCCAAATACACAAACACTACAGATTGAAACTAGATTAAAAATACTTTTATTCATTTGATTTTCATTAATACAGTCAAAATTAATGTCTCTCAGTCATTCTAATCAATTTTTTGTTTTTTCTCCCACTTTTGCCCAATAATCCTTTGTGACATAGGCACATGCTTCAACGAATATAGAAGAAACAGTCCAAAAAGTTACAGCCGAGTCATAATATCAAATAAGGTGACAAACACAAAATCACAAAATTACGCATAGTTAGCTCCTGAAATGGCGGGAGACTGAAATTACTTAGTGGTTTTTTAGCGCGGCGGTTGTATGAGTTTGTTTTGCCTACACAAATTTACGTTGACAAAGTAAAAAAAATAGACTTGTTTTATTCATGATTTAGGGAATTTTGAAAATAAAAATTTAATTAAATAAATATTAAATTTAAAAAATAATGATTCGATTATTTGAATATTTTTGCCGATTATTTGCATAACAACGAATTTTAATCATCCAAATACTATGGTAAGGTACATAGCGACATATCATAGAAATGTCAAGTAAAAAAGTTGATACTGGTTATTTTTTAAATATTTTGCTTTGTTTGAAAGATTCGAATTTAAATGAAAATATAGATTCACTTCATAATTCAACTTCATAATTCTTTGGGGTTTGCGTAAAAGGTTATTTTAAATCGTGTGAGTACGCTTGTGCAAAGTTATTCCGGAATAATTAATGTGAAACGTCAAAAGGTATTTCTTAGATTTGGTTGACTATATAGTGACCCGTTTTACTCATTTCATCTTAGTCCTTGGGGGTAGATATAGGTATAGGTGTCTGTGAGCCACAGCATCTACTTACCTTCAGGTGGGCTATGCGCACATTTGTCACCCTTATTGTGTATATTAAAAAAATAACCAAATAAATTACCAGAATGTATATACTTTTAACCCGAGAGGTCAATCGACGGATTCAACTCGGCTGGGCAGCGTTCGGGAAATTACGACACATCTTCTCGTCAGGTATACCTCGATCTCTGAAAACTAAAGTGTACAACCAGGGCGTGTTGCCAGTGATGACTTACGGATCTGAGACGTGGTCCTTCACTGCTGGCCGTATGAGGACGCTCAAGGTCGCTCAGCGAGCTATGGAGAGGGCTATGCTCGGAGTTTCTCTGCGTAATAGACTCAGAAATGAGGATATCCGCAGTAAAACCAGAGCGACCGACATAGCCCAACGGATTAGTAAGCTGAAGTGGCAATGGGCCAGCCATTTAGCTCGAAGAACCGATAACCGATGGGGAAGAAAGGTTCTCGAGTGGCAGCCTCGTACCGGTAGGCGTAGTGTAGGGCGACCCCCCACTAGATGGAGTGACGACCTGGTAAGACTTGCAGGAAGTCGGTAGATGCAGGTGGCTCAGGACCGTGCTTTGTGGCATTACTTGTGGGAGGCCTATGTTCAGCAGTGGACTTGTGAAGGGCTGTAATGATGATGATGATATACTTTCATTAAAAAATGTTCCAGTAGTGTCATGTGACAGTCACGGTGATAGCAATACAATATAACGGTTTTGTCTTGATCCATGTATAGTGGAATGGCGGATTTGAACTCACGCCATCTTAAGTTTGCAATTCATATCCATTAAACGACTTTTTACTGACATTTTTGTTTGTTTGTTTTTTTCATTGTAAGTAATGAGTTCATATTGTTGACAGCTGGATAGCTTTTGTAGCAGTGATAGTGTGTCTCATCGTTATGTCGTGTTGCGGCAACGTTCGTCGCCAGGCACCCAGTAATTTCATCTTCCTCGGCATTTTCACCGTCGCTGAGAGTTTCCTGCTCGGTGTGACCAGCAGCATGTATGATAGCTCCGCGGTAAGGAATTTTACACTGCATTAATTATCTAGATGTTAAGGACGCTATGGACAATGATTTGAAGGAATTTAAACTTTACGCAATTTATCGCTTTCGCGGGTTTTTTTTTACCCGCGTAAAAGGACATCTAGCTAATGTGGAACGTCAACGATCCAAAATATCTTCAGTTTGTTAATATGTTATCTGTCTGTCTATGCCTATCAAAGTCCTACAGCTTAACACAGGCCTCCCCCATAAATTGCCTCACAGGTAATCCCCTGTGTAAGGCAACTTTTTTGCCATAGTTGCTACATATGACAGACAGTAGGCAACTGCAGTTTATTTTATTATTTAGAGTTATGATCGGGAATTAAAGTAAAGGCCTTTATATGTCCCATACCTGGGCAAGGACCTCATTTCTGAGGGTAATGTAGAGCAATTTATTTATCAGGAAGTTACTTCAGTAACTGCAGAGGATACATATAGTGATAGAATTGTGGCGCTATAATATTTCCTGTACAGTTGCCAGCTTTTGACAGTGTTCGAAAGTTGGCTGATATGGTCGAAATAAGCTAGGATATCATCATCATTCACCGTTTTCGGCAGTAGATGTTATTAGATTTGGAAAATGATGTTTGATCGTCAAAATCGAATCGTCTATCATATTCTTAGACATCCAATACTAATTTGTTCAATATTCCCATCAGTAGAACCAATTTAGGCAAGTTTTCTCCGTTAAGCAGATTTATGCGAACTTACAACAGCTTAAACAATCAGGACGTCGACATCTTTAGCGACCCCAAACGTGTATTTAAAAGAAAATGTAAAGACTTACTGTTACCTGCCTTGCCAGATTAGTGATTCAAAATTATTATTTATTGTAATTATTACTGGATGTGCTGCTTTTAATTTGATTGGTTAGTTTAATTTCTTTTTGTTTTAGAGTTTATATGTTTTTTAGTTTTTTTTTTTTTCTTTTTCTCTTATAATGATGTATACGCCTGTAAAGACATATCCTTTATCTAAAAATGTAGTGTTTTGATTGTAACAATGCTTACTGATATTGTCGATGGTGTGTCTATTTAAATAAATAAAATAATAAACGTGTTTACTTTCAGGTGATGATGGCAGTGGGAATAACGGCCGCCATTTGCCTAACCCTGACATTATTTGCGACGCAGACCAAGTACGACTTCACCGCGATGGGCGGGGCTTTGCTCTGTGCCACTGTTGTGCTGTTACTATTTGGTGAGTCTTGAAGATATTTTTCCTTATTTTTTGGTTTTATGTTGGCAGTTCCTCTTTTCTTTGCTGTGTAACATGATATCTTGAGTTAGGGCTAAGAATATAATCCTTTTTTACTTATATTGGTAAAAAAAATTTGCAGGCCTGATAGCGTTGTTCATCCCGGCCAATAAAATAGTGACCCTAGTGTACGCCTCTTTGGGTGCTCTGCTCTTTTCCCTGTACCTCATCTATGACACTCAGCTAATGTTGGGCGGCAAGCACAAGTACAGCATTTCGCCTGAGGAGTACGTGTTCGCGGCTTTGAACCTGTACCTCGACATTATCAACATCTTCATCTACATCCTAACTATTATTGGAGCAAGCCGGGACTAAGCCAGAGCAGCTTAGGTATGTTTTTTTTATAATTAAATCTAATTACTTTACTATGTAAAGAATATAAGTATACTTATTTCTATTTTCTTGTTTAGAGGATAAGAATGTATATAGTTAGTTTTTGCACAAGTAATGTTAGGTTTTTAGTTGGGATTTAAACCCATAAAAGTCCCAAAGCGTTAAGGACGCTATGGATAATGATTTGAAGGAATTTAAACTTTACGCAATTTATCGCTTTCGCGGGGTTTTTTAGATATAAAAGTCCCAAAGCATCAGATATTAACTCATTCAATACAGTCTATAAAAATTCCACTGCTTGATGGCCTCATAGACCGGATTGCCATAGTTTTCAGGAAGGTTACTTAGCAGGCAGGTTGGTAGCCTCAGTTATTTTATATTATTATTGTGAATATTAGGGAGATTTTTGATAGATGATTCACGTGGTAGAGCCATGATGTAGATATATTAGTAGTATAATTGTAGCACAAATGGGTCGGCTTCACCGGGGAAAGACCACATTCTCACAGAGTAATAGCTTAAAATAGCAGCTTAACGCTGCTGGTTTGAATGGTGAGTGTAGAGAACCAAAGGCCTTTTTTACTGGAAATGAGGCATTCCATTATAGTCCTCAGGTATGACAACGTATCTGCATTTTGATGTGTTATCAAGGATAGATGTAGATGTGGGCCACAGCAACCACTTCCATCAGGTGGACTGTTCGGTTCGGTGCTTGCTCGTCACCCTTATTCTATAAAAAGACACTAACTCATTCAATACAGCCCATAAGAAGTCCATTACTGGATTGCCTCATACACCAGATATGTGCCATAGTTGTCATGCTTGGCCGACGGGTCGGCAACTGTAGTTTTTTATTATTAGTATTGTGATTGTTAGAAAAATGCTGCTTTCCTTCTCATTTCAATGTCCCTCTGTCTCCTATTACGACAACACGCAATTATACTATATATATTAATTTGTACTTGGTAGAGCCATGCTACAGCTATATTGTGGTTGCAGGACGAATCGGTCGGCTCAACCGGGGTAGGACCACGCTCTTACAGAATACCAGCGTAAAATAGCAGCTCCATGTTGCTGTGTATCGTATGGGGTGAGTGTAGAGAACTAGACACCCTTTTTACTGGAAACGAGGCATTCCATCTCCGTCCTTCTAATTGAAGATAAATGTAGATGTCTGTGGGCCACAGCATCCACTTACAATCAGGTGGACTGTGTGCTCGTTTGTCACCCTTATTGTCTGAAAAAAATGGGGTAGTGTATTTTATTACGCCGCCACTACGTGGCAACATCTTCATCTACATCCTGATTACTATCACTGATCACCAACCCAAAGACACGTTTTAATTTTTGTTTTTCAGATATACTGCAGCTAAATGTATACTGTGCGAGACTGACTGTCCAAGAGCACTATACCAATTTAAGTTTATTTTCTTTTCGTTATCCATCTACTATTTATGGACAGTCGGAGGCAAAGATGTAGTGTTTTTGTTGATTTCTTATGACTTAACCTCTTAAATGGATAATATTTATACAAAAAGTGTTACACTTAATAAAAATAAACTAAGGATCCTATATATTTGTGTTATTAAAGACTAATTTTGTTAATATGCTTATCACATTATATTTACGAATAAAACCTCATTGTTGAATCGTCCATCCAAAGTTTATCGACCTCATATATTTAATATTTTTAAAGCCATCTTTTTTCTTTTTGATATATTTAAAGATAATTTTGAGAATAATTACCATAATGACACAGATTGCTAATAAATAGAACATTTTTCGAAACTTTTTAACATTCCAGTCACCAGGTATCCTTTTTTTTACTTTTGTATGTACACACAAATAGACAAACTTTTCAAACAGAAATTTGTACAGTGAGTTCGTACAAAGGCAACTTACTCGAATTTTAATCAAATTGTTAAATAATATCAAAATTGCAGTATTACATTATTAAATAAAAATAATTACTTTTTACTATATAAACTGATAACTCTTTACAGCGGATCTCCGGTAATCCGGTCCCTGGCTAAGCCGTCCCCCCTTGTAATCCACATGTCTTTAACTTGTAGTTAGATTCTAGTCGCGCTGTGAATCCGCGACGGGGGAAGGTAGCCTTCGCGAATACAAGCATTGCAATCAGATCGCACCACCACAAATCTAGCTTGACGAGTATTGTCTTAGTTCAAATGTGACTATGGTAGCGGCCTAGCAGGAATTCATTATTTACTGTTTAGGTATTCATTGTGCATCACATGACATTTATTAATTATTTTATATTTGATATAGTAATCTGTCTTTTTATTCAAGGACACTCTTTTTCAAAAATTGTTGGCCAGTCTAGCCCAGGTGCTGTGCACAGTACTCCATAGTCCGACAAATTGTTGGTTTGGTTTATCGATAATCTGACACCGCCTTGCCTTTTTAAAAATAGTAGAGTTATTAGTTTATATAATAAAAAAAATATTTTATTTTTTGTATTATCTTTCTCGAAATAATTGGATAAATCATGTTTTTTTTTTCACTTTGCTCATATTCAAAATTAAAAACAAAATGGTGGTAGTACAACTGTATTTATCAAGTCGGTATTCTAAGTATTAATAGCCTGGCATCTGCTTTATACCGGCTGTTCACACTCGCCGAGAGCCTCTCACAGAGAGTCAAGCTGTCTAGGAGTTCGAAGCTATCGGCTAGGGCACACCGTCTGCACACTCGTTGCACCAGTTAAACTGCGAACACCGTTCACCGCACCCGCTCTCATAGACCTGGTTTCTGCCGCTTTTTTTGTGCTGTTAGCTACTATAATTATTTGAAAATATACCACATAAAAAAAACTCGCGCTCGTTAAACCACATAGCAAAAATACTTCACGTAAACACAGTTAGCAGGCAACAAACTAAACGAGTGTATATTGCGGTCACATTAACTTGACGCATCGCTGGAATGCGAGGATCCGCTCGCTAGCCCCCGCACTCCCTTAGCTCGCCCTGCAATCGTCAGTATGGTTAGCATCTGTGTTACACTGTTGTAAATGACGTCATCAAAGCCATGCGTCAAGTTAATGTGACCGCGTTGTACATGTTCGTTCTTTTCCTTGCGAGAGCTACACGCGGGACCCTTTGACTCGGGAGCAAAAAACCGATACGCGACTGAGACCTGGCGAGGCGAGGCGAGAGAACGACAGACCGAGAAGATACGAGAGCTTAATGTAGACACTCGTTCTCACTCTGTCTCATACGGCCTCGGCGAATGTGTACAGCCGCCATTATATCATCAAACTTAGCATAAATAATATGTAATATGATTAAATATGAATTATCTATGGCCAACTGGGCAATAATTATGTGTTTTTATCTTAAATAAATTCTGTGATAGATGGCCATCTAAATGTTGTTTTATTTAACACCTTTACACTGCTAAATTAAACAATAATAAAAAACCATGCATCCTAAATAATAATTACATCAAAGTTAGAACATAAACATTTCAAGAAATTTACAGCTGACGAGGATTGTGAAAATTCAATAATTCCATGCTGGAAAAGCGAGTTTTTCAGCATAAAGCTGATACCCTCTTATTGGTACAGTACCAATAATACCAATGGTACTGCTATCCGTGATTATAAGTATAACTCACCCATCCAGACTGGCGAAAATGAAACCTACCACTACTGCATTTACGTCACTTTGTTTATTTACTTCAATTTGGACATTTTCTGAAATTTAAAAATGGATTCCTTAGAATTAGTATCATCAAATAGTTTTTCGATGGTACCATAAAAATATTTATTTAAAACACCTTAAGGTAAAGGGTACATAGGGCGGACTTAATACCATGTGGTATTCTGTGCAAGTAAACCCTGGGTGCCAGACAATAGGGTATTTTACCCATGTTTAAAAATTGTTTATTATATAGCATATTATACATAATACATATATGCATATAATGTGTTACATGCTTATCTTTATCTGTATGAATATATAAATAAATAAAGGAAGAAAAATAATGTCAGTAATTGTCCTCAGGTTATTTTGTCGTAGAAGTACTTTGAAGGAGTTTCTATTTGTTGCATTTTTAATAATATCATAGGGGAGGGTGTTCCAAAGTTGTATAGGCTGTATCGTAAAAGTGGACCTGAAAAATTATACCTATGCTGTGGAAACCTTATCCTCGGACGGTTTGATGGTCATGATGTTTTAAATGAAATGAAATAAAGGATTTTTGTTCAATATAGATTATTTCGTAATACTTATTGGAAGTCCTTTTTTTATTTACCACTGGTTCGGAAAAACCTCTGTCCTGAGAAGAACCAGCAAGAAACCCAGCGGGACCCGTTTTCTTCATTAGTTCGACCGTCGATCGAATAAAAAAAATGAAAGTTTATACTCAAGATAAGAAGGCGACCTTGGATCGTTTAAAATTGAATAAAGTACAAGTAAAATTCTAGAGCATCGCCTTTGGCGTATACGATAGGAAGATATGTGGTCACATACACGTAAATCGAAAATAAACCTTACGAAATTATTAAGAAGGCGCTCCAACTTGTTTAGATTTTGTGACACATGTGTGTAACATACATCTGCATAATCGATGATAGATAGAATGAGGGAATGAACCAGCGTAAGCGTGGTAATGAAAGGTAGGAAATTTTTAAGACGATAAAGAGAACGCAAGGTGGCAATAACTTTACGACTTACTTCAGACAAAGAATATATACACTATGCTTCAGAGAAAGTAAACTTTCATGATTCGGCTGAACAGAGGTGTAAAATGCAGTTCTTTATTTATCAGCCACCAAAAGCTGGAGGTGATGTTAACCCGTAATCACTAGTATTGCACCGCTAGGTCACCAGTATTGCTGCATTCAATTCCCAGTATTACCGAAATCAATCACCAGTAGTGCAGCCCTCGAGCTAGACGAGAGCAGCTATTGCTGTCAGTGCCAGTCTGGAATTAGCAGTCTGCAAAAAGAAAAGCGCATTTGGTTGGGTTTCCACCATTAGTCGTTTGCCAGCCTAAACGTTAGAAAAGCCTTACGTTAAAAGTTGTATTTAGTTGCAATAAGTTGGTCATGTCAATGCTGGATTTACAGAACGGTTCATTTTACACACAGACAGAGCACCTAACTAGGGGTAGAATGCCCAAATATTGCCGTATTATTATATACATTTTTTTTTTCAATGTATTTAGTTTAAGACGGACTACTTCTTCTTCCTTTATGGCGGTTACGATGAATTCGCCAATGGCATGTTAGATCCGAAAAGGTTTATTTGGGACACAAACTGCATAAAAAAGGGAAATTGATAACACAAGAGTATAACAACAATATTATGTGATTAATTTTAGCCAACTTATCTGTTGAATTACCTAATGTCGCCTCTACACGTTGGCCAACACAGTGGCGAATGAAGTGGCGAATATATTGGCAGAGAGTTGGTGACGGCGTCCACACGTTGGAAGATCGTTCAGTTTACTTCGGTTCGAGCCAATATGCGGACGAATTTATAAGCACCGTGGCGCAGTGGCTCAGCAATGAGTGGCTGCGCCGGGCGCCGGGGTTTGATCCCGCACGGAACAAGTATTTGTATGTCCTACAAATAATTGTTTCGGGTCTGGATGTGTGTCCTTGTGCAATTTATGTTTGTAAACTACCCGCGCGATACGGGAGAAAATCCTAGTGTGGGGTTAAGGTTTTTATAAAAGAATTATAAAATAATAGTGGATATTAATGGGGCTGTAAATAGATATACGATATACGATTAGCTTTATTTATTATTTACATGCATCATAAACTGGAATAAATACCATTAATAAGAACTTAACTTATTTTAATGTTATAGGAGTTATAATCGATTAGAACACCTTATAATTTATTTGGTAATTTAATTATTTTTTGAGAAAGAAAAAAACAATAGCAATAAATATAATTAACACTGACTTAATAAAAGGTACTAATTATAACTTAGAACATAAATGAAAAACTCATGACAAGGAAAGTGGCTCAGGACCATGCTTTGCGGCAGTCTGTGACGGACGATGTTCAGTAGTGGACTTGTGAAGAGCTGTAATAATGATGATGATTCGAAAACTTGCATGATTAAATTATAAGAAATCGACGTTTTTTTATAGGATAGGGTGACAAACGAGCACACAGTCCACCTGATGGTAAGTGGTTGCTGTGGCCCATAGACATTTACATCTATCCTTGATTACGAATCAAAATGCAGATGCATTCTCACCCGTTAGGACTAAGATGAAATGCCTCGTTTCCTTTAAAAAGGGTCTCTGATTAAAACAAATATTCAATAATAATTAAATCGCGCTAATTAAAGTAGTAGGAATGTTTAAAGTTGAAATTGGCACTAAAAGGCTGGTAATTGGGGCATCCACCCTACAAAGCTTTAATATAAAATTTAAATCAGATGCGTGTTATCACTCTGGGAGCTTGTAGCAAACTAAACGCGCGGCCAACGTGTGGAC